CCCCAAAACCCCAAAACCCCACGTTTTATTATTTGAATGTTCTTTTAAAAAAATATAATTAAAATAATTTGAAATCTGATAAATTGTAATGATATTTTTAAGTGGTCAAGAGCGTTTAGTCTCAATATTATTTTGAGCTCTGTGGCTCAAATTTTCAGAAATTTTACTCATCAAGGATTTAAGAATACTCATGTCCATCTTCAAATCATTAATCTAAGTTTGAGTGTCTCCTACCTTTTTATTAACTTCATCCAGTTTTTATTCAACATTTCTATTCTCTATTTCAACAGAATATTTAAAATTATCGAAATCTTCTTTATTGATTGCATTATCTTTGTATTAGTTAAGCTTAGCTAGAACCTTTTACTATATTTAGTTATAATTAGCTGGTAATTGATAGTTCTGTACTTATTGTTGTTATAATTCTGGTTTTTTACTTTCTATTAATTGCTCAATGATCTCTTTCAACTTTTTTTATTCGTTCACTAAATCCTCAATAGATGAGACTTATACTTTATTTTGAGATTTCCCGAAGCTTGAAATTATCTCATTTTTTTGTTTCACAGTCTATATTTTCATTGTGCCTTTGATGTCTTTTATAAATCCTTACCATTCTCCATCTTCTTAGAATGTAGTATTAACTTATCTTCTGATTACAATATAATTAGGAAAGTATACTGGATTTTTCAGTTCTTATTCTGAAAATAATTACTCTCTTTCAAGTATAAGATTTGCTTTTACCTTATAAGATTCAGCTACTAATTTTTGCATAACTTTTTCATAAGACTCAGATATAACTGCAATAATGAAGTTCATGAATACAATGTTAATAATCAAAACAGTAAAAACCCAAACGACCCAGGTGATGAAAACTAGTTCACTATCTTAATCTTTATAGTCATCAAGTTCAAAATCTCCAGTAGATATTCTAAATATAGTCAAGAAATATGTAAGCTTGCCCACACCTTTATAACCATCTACAAATTTTGCTCTGAATAAAATAGTAAAGACTAGTCCAAACTGGAATATAAAGATAAGGAAAAAACCTAAAAAGAATCTTAGATCCATAAATACACCTTAAAGCATAGATACCAGGAAGCTGAATCCTTGGAATATTCTTAGGAACTGAAATAGCTTCATTGAGGATAGTAAAATAGCAATGATGTGAAGAATTATAACAGCTTGCTCTGAAGTCGAAGAGAATTCAACTATTGTAAGTATCACGTAAGAAATGATATATGAAAGATCAAAGTAATTCCACAAATCCATAAAGTAGCTGAATTTCTAGATTTTAAACTATCTGTATTCATAAATTAAGAAGTATACAATAACTCCAAAGCAAATAAACTTGATCAAAATTCTCACCCAGATATTTCTCAAGTCCCCATCTAATTCTTCACTAATCAAGCCATAGTAAGCAGAATAAAAGGTTTCAAATATAAATGCAAAGATGAAGATCATGTAAATAAAGAAGTTCTTGAAGTAAAATACTCTGGTATGAGTTCGCCATTTAAATTGAATTATGCTTTGAATTATTTGATTTTCTAGATATTCTTGCTTTTATGTATCGCTAAGTACTTGCATAAGTTAATTGGCATTCTTATTTAAAGTATAGGGTAGGTTTACAATGAAGTATTCTATAGAGACATTAGAACTTTCCTCATTTTCTGGTTTTTCAAAAAGAACATCTTTGAAAAGTTGCTCATAATTCAAATGAATCTCCTTCAGATTTTATAAGCTAGTGCCAACTAAAAGAGCTCGATCATCATAATGCTGACTAGGAAAGTTAGGATCTATTATTTCATAAAAGGGTAAGTGACTTTCAAAGTAATCCTGAAGATCAATTTTGTATTCGATGAGTTCACATATATGCTTATCAATCAATTAGTTAAATAAGATGTGGTTTTGATACTTTATTATTACGTGAAGAATCAAATTGAGAATCTTTTGCTGCCGGTTTTAAGTCGCAAAATCAAAAGGGCTTTATCCATTTAACATTTTTGGAATAATCAATATTGGAAGATCTCGCTTGTGTAACAGAGAGAGGGATTTCGTAATACTCTCCAATACTCTCAAGTTATTTTCAAATAGATTGAAACAGTTACCATAACCAGATATAAACTTAGTATAGGTTTTCAGATCTTTCAATTGTTCAATGACTTAAACATTCTTCATCTGTTTAATATCTTTGAATTTCTATAAAATATCATCATCAATATTGGTGTCTAAAATTCCTGCAGGATTATCTTCATAGTTCATATAATACTCAATCCTCTTTTAATCAATTTAGATAGTTTAGGCTAATTCAAAGTATAAAGCAAGAATTAAAGGCTAGTTGTAGCTTCCAACATCATTGATTTAACTTAATGGTTTCTACTCAATAGCAATGTACTTATTAGCATCATTCATGAGGTTTTTACAAATAAAATAACCAGAGGATGATAGGTCTTGCTATGAAGAATGTGTATTTTTAAATTTACTAATTTATCCTGAACTTATTTTTATGATTTTTTTAAGTTAAGGCTCATTCATAATCTTTAAAGATTTTCTTGTCTCATTTTGCAATTCATTATTTTTATTGAGATACTCTTAGTTTTTAGTGTTGAAAAAGAAGAGCTATGTTAAGAATATATCACTAATTTAAACGAAATCTTCACCAATATTGACAGAAAGCTAATGATTACTTGTGAAACTCATTTCCTAGATTATTTTTAAAGTTACAAGATCGAATGCTACAATTGAACTTATATTATTTAGTTTTAGCTTTGAATGGAACATTAAAATATTGAAATCTTCATCAATATAAGCCATCTTCAGCTCAGCTATACTATCATAGATATCTTTTGGTATTTTTTCCTTTAAGATGAGTTATTTATAAAGCTAAGTGTTTTTATTAAAATAATTTATGGCTTATGGAGAGCAAATTTCAATCACATAGCCATTCCAGTTGCCTTTACTAGACATAAGTCCATTAAATGAAGATATTTTATTATCTAATCTCTGAATATCTTACTATTCTTATTTATTCTTAAATACATCATCAAAGTTAATTGACCGATAATCATTAAGAAATAGTTTATTTTTACTGCTGAGATAATAGCAGATAACATCTTCCTTGCTCAATTTTTGAACTTAATACAGCTAAGGCTTTGATTAATTGACAATCTCATCGAAATTCTCAGCATAAAGTAGATTTGAATCTTTCGCTATTAAGTTGATGAATGTTTCACGACTATGGGCCTTTGCTAAGACTTTTAAAGGGCTCTATTAATCAATTCTTTAGACGACATCATCATTTTCATTATTTTCAAAGAATAAATATTCCCCAAACACAGATGAAATATCACTATCTATACCTTTAAGAGGTATTATTGAATTTAACTAATATGACTGAGTGTATACCTGAATATAGGAGACAGTCAATTAACCAGGTTCAAAGAAATAAAATCTTAATCTTTAGAAATCGAAGTTTTCAAATTCAAGTTTTAATGAAAAGCTTTGCTTAGAAACTAACTCGAATGTAAAAATATTGTATATCTTTATTAAGTTTTACTCCTCAAATTTAGTAATAAGATATAAGCAATAGCAATGAATCGCTGCATCTATTAAAATTTCCGATTTGAAATGCTATAGAAATTATTTCTTATCTAACTCAAATTTTTCATTCAGTGCATAGAGATTAAGTTACTTGTCAATAGCGTACTTAAAATTCTAATTATATGCCAGAATCTTATATCTAGAATCGAGTTTTTTAACTTTGCTCAAATCATCTCGTTTATATATTACAGTTCCAATATCTTTATTATCTAAACTATCTTTTTAAGAAACAAAAGCGAAATGGTTTTCTATATTTACATTGCCAACTTAAAGATTTGAATCCTCTTTTATGAAATATACAGAATTATTTTTATTGTTTTGGTTGGCGTTTTCAATTAAATTTTTTTAATCCTATTAATATGATAATTTCTTTGAGTCAATATCTCTTTTATTAAATAGAAATATTTATGGTTCATTAATCTCTGTGATAGGTGTTTAGAGATTTATCAAAAAATGATAATCTGACGAATCTGAAAGCAAGATGTTTTTTTCATCAGCTATAAAAACCTTATATACATTCTTTTAAGTCTAAGTTTAGTTTGTATAATCTTTCTTATTTTTATAGTATAATTTTTCCAAATCTATTCTAATTTTGGCTTGTGAGAAGTCTTTTCAGTCATCTAATTTGAATATTAAAATAGCATCCTCTAAGAAAGCTATGATAAAGACTAAGCCATTGACAACTTGATATTTAAACTGTTTAAATTTTTAATTTTCACAATCAACACATTTCTTCGCTTTACCTGAATCTAAATCCCTTATATAAATCATGAATTTATCCGATTCAAACTAATAAAAGGTTAAAATCTCATTTCTAGGAAAAATCATCAAGTAATCAATAGGATTTTTATCTTTTATTTCTTTTTCTTTTATAACTAATTCATTTTATTTTGGCTAGGAAAGGTTGCTAAAGTCTCTTTCTATATAATTTTATTTAATCCATTGACATAGTTATTTCTTTTCTTGCTTTGGTTGCAACTTAACATCTTCATCTTTAACACTTGGCAAAGGACTATAATCATTTCCTTCTTTTGTATTTGAAACTTTGTTTATTTCCATTTATATTTTTATCGTTAAAATTTTCTTAATAATATCAATAAATTTAACTTATTCAATATAAGAACTTCGAATTTTATAGAAGAAAAATTATTTTATACCAGCTTATGAATTAATGATTAAAACAAATTATTTATCAAGGGGTTTTGGGGTTTTGGGGTTTTGGGG